GGACGGAGTCTCGCTCTGTCGCCCAGGCTGGAGTGCAGTGGCGGGATCTCAGCTCACTGCAAGCTCCCTCCCGGGTTCACGCATTCTCCTGCCTCAGGCCTCCCGCAGTAGCTGGGACTACAGGCCCGCCCCTGCGCCCAGCTAGTTTTTTTGTATTTGTTTAGTAGAGACGCGGGTTTCACCGTGTTAGCCAGGATTGGTCTCGATCTCCTGACCTCGTGATCCGCCGTGTTGGCCCTTCGGACCAAAGACGATGTTATCCTTTAAAGGGGAACATTCTGGCGCTGGACTGATGGCAAGCGTTAATGGAGCAAAAAGCAACAAATCAGTAAGGTCATATTTGGATAAAGTAACTTACTGATATAGTCCAGTCATAAGATTTGGGCTAGATTGTTTTGTGCAATCTGTCCAACCGTAAGCGTATCAGGACGTCCTTTCCATTTGGGAAGAGAAGTTTAAACACACCTAACTAAATCAAAAGTACAGATTAAAACAACCATTAATATCAGTTTATACATGCACCATAATGAAATATAGAAACGCAATAGAATTTTGAACTGATCCAATTAGCTGTATTTATTTGCCAAGTACTTACCTTCCACTTACGATGACCATATTAAAAATGTCATACCTGTAATACAAGAATACGAAGAAGCTAGCAATAACTAATCAAAAAAAAAAAAAAAAAGATACACGTCAAATCATATTACTCCTCTGATCACAACCTTCCAATAGCTCTTCATCATACTTCAGCTGAACACTGGAATCCTTAAACTGGCCTGCAAAGTCCATTATGATTCAGTCCTCAGTACCTTTCCAACTATTTCTCCTGCTGCTTTTCCACTTTTCTTTCTCCACTGAAGTTACGCTGACCTCCTTGAAGTTTCCTTCTCAGCACTTTTCAGCTATAGGAGTTTTGTGCCCTGTCCTCGTTCACTGTAACAGGCTCTTGCAGATATTTCCACAACTCACTCCTCATATCATTCACATCTTCTCTCAAATGTTAACTTCGCAGTGAAGTCTTCCTTCAATATCCTACTTAAAATTGTACCAGGTTTCCCCATCCTAGCAGGAGCCTCTGTCTCCTCTGTGATTTGTTTCCCTCCAAAGCACTTATCGCCTTCGAATAAATTATACAACTTATTTTACTTTTTCTCTTTGTCTCTTTTTATTGCTTTTTTGGTACATTTCTTATTGTATCTCTTCCACCAAATACATTTGGAATAAAACATTTTTACTAATTTGTCTCTTCTCCATAATTTCAGCGAAAGCAACAGACGTGCATTCAGATTAGGAACACAATAAATACAACGAAGTTGAATAAATGAAATGGAGGGGAGTGAAGTATTCCAGATGGAAGAGGCAGTCCGTGGCCAAGAGGAAACAGACCACACGCATTGGAGGAAAAGGATGGCCAGACTTGCAGAAACCTGGAACTGGTGATTGGCTTTAGAAATGGACAGACAAAAAAAGAGGCATAGAAAGTGCCAACATTTGGCTACACAGTGAAGGAAGACCTAAAATAATAAAAACATTGGCATCACCTGTAGACTCAAACCCTGTGAGTGAAAGACGTGAGCAATGCAGGATGGATTGAGCCTGTGACTAGCCTTCTTCAGCATATGTAAAATGATGTCTGCTTTTCTTATTTGTCATTTCACTGACTTTTTATATACAGTAGTTTCCCCATATCCATGGAGGATACATCCCAAGACCCCCAGAGGATGCCTGAAACCACAGATAGTAACAAATCCTATGTATCCTATGATTTTTCCTGTACATCCATACCTATCAAAAGTGAGTTTATACTTTAGGCACAGTAAGAGATTAAAAACAGTAACTCATAATAAAATAGGACAATTATAACAATACAACCTAATGAAAGTTATTTGAATGTGATCTATCTCAAAATATCCTATTGTAGTGTACCATGGGTAACTGAAACAATAGCAAACACAATTGCAAAGAAAGGGGGATACTGTAGTAAAATAAAGGGCGATGGGTAGAGCGTAGGAAGCATTCGCAATTAGAACAGTCGGCAGGAGGGAAGGAAACATACTTTAAATTGGAATGTGGATCACATGGCTGCCTCCTGCCAGTCATGACCGCAGGGTACAGAGGCCTTTGGTATTTCAGGTCTTGTCTCCCACCACTCATACCGCCTGAAAGACTCCATCAGCAACCAGAACTGAATCACACACGACCCAGATTGTCATTTCTGATGACTTTGACTTAAACAAACAGACATATTTTTAATCTTTTAAGTGTGTGTGAAACTAGCAAGGCCTAATGAATTGAGTATAAGGATGAGGGTTGTGGCCTCTGTAGCGTTTTCTCCAACCAGAACCTGCTGAAATAGCACAGATGGTGATGAGGACGGTTCAAACACGAGAATTCTTGGAAAGGTGATTGGGTAAGTGACAAGAATCTCGGTCTCCTGCCATTTCCATCCCTGCATTTACTTACTGTGTGAATTTGGACGAGTCATGTAATCTTCTGGCTTCAGTGTGTTTAGCTCTGTAATTAATATGTTCAGTAACAGTTCTTCTATCTGACCTAAAAATAACCATTTTTTCCAAAGGTATATATTAGAACTATATACATATATAATATACAAATATATAACATGTATATCCTTAATATATATAATAAACACATTACACATGTAAATTTAATGATCTACCCTATTCTCAGCCTCTACTTTCCTCTGATAATGACATCATTCAATTACTCTAAAAAGCTAATACTATAGAATCTTTATATTTAAAAGAGTTTTGTAATGCTCTAAACTTAACTGCATACTGCTAAGTGAAAGAGGCCAGTCTGAAAAAGCTACCTACTGTATGATTCCAACTATATGACATTTTGGAAAAGCCAAAACTATAGAGACAATAAAAGTATCAGAGGCTTTTAGGGGGTTCAGGGAAATGGGTGAGGAATTAAATGAATGGAGTACAGCACACTTTCAGGGCAGTGAAACTATTGTGTATGGTACTATAATCGTGGATATGTGACATTACACTTTTATCAAAACCTATCGGCCCCAAACAGAATGTTGTAAACTCTGGACTTTATTTGTAGAGACAGGACTTTAGTTAAAAGTCCATATTGGTTCATTAATGGTAGCAAATATACCACACTAATGCCAGATGCTAATAAGAGCAGAAAGTGTGTTGGGAGGTGGGAAGGCATATGGAAACTGTACTTTCTGCGCAATTTCTCTCTGTAAACCTCAAACTGCTCTAAAACTTTTCTATTGAATTTTTCAGTTATTTCAGTTATTCTCTATAAATTAGCATAGCTATCAGTCCCCAATGACCTTGCTAATTTTAGGTTACTTATTTATATATGGTTCTCGATTTAGTCTCCTTGGGCAAATAGTAAACTGCATGGCTTTTACTCTCTCTGACTTTCTTTTTCTGTCCTTCACAGAAATTGAAGTTCAAGTACAAGAAGAATTTGCACATCGCCCAGGTTTTAATTTGGAAGGTTTCTAATGGCCCTCTGTCCTGGTGCTCACTGTGAACCCTAAGTGCTTGTGCTAGAATCCAATTCTGACGTTAGCTGCTCTGCCACAGCTTCCAATCAGTATTTATGTTGTGTTCTTTCATTTTATGTTGCTCTAATAGAATACTTGAGACTGTGTAATTTACAAAGAGCGAAGTTTTATTTATTTATTTATTTATTTATTTATTTAGAGACAAAGTCTCGCTCTGTCGCCGAGGCTGGAGTGCAGTGGCGCAATCTCGGCTCACTGCAAGCTAAACCTCCCAGGTTCACGCCATTCTCCTGCTTCAGCCTCCTAAGTAGCTGGAACTACAGGCCCCCGTCACCACGCCCGGCTAATTTTTTTGTATTTTTAGTAGAGACGGGATTTCACCGTCGTAGCCAGGATGGTCTTGATCTCCTGACCTTGTGATCCGCCCACCTTGGCCTCCCAAAGTGCTGGGATTACAGGCTTGAGCCACTGCGCCCGGTCCAAAGTTTTATTTCTTACAGTTCTGGAGGCTGGGGAGTCCACCATCAAGGTGCTGGCATCTTGTGAGAACCCTCCTGCTGTGTCATTCCATGGCAGAAGGCAACAGGGCGGGACAGTGCCAGAAAGCGAGGGGGAAGAACTCAGTTTTATAACAAACTCACTCTCAAGATAACTAACCTATTCCTGCTATAGCAACATTCATCCATTCATGAGGGCAGAGCCTGCATGACCTAATCACATCTTACTTGGCTCCATCTCTCAACACTGTTCCATTAGGAATTAAGTATTTAACACATGACCTCTGGGAGACACATTCAAACCATAGCATATGTCCTCTATGCAGTTGCCTTGTCTAGAGGTAGGACACTGAGAATTTACCACCCTTCCCAGCATTGACGTGCTCTCTAGGTGTCTCAAGAATTCTTGGCTGTGTCTCCACCAGGCTTCAAGACCCTCCATTGGCCTGGCTTTTGGACTTCTATGGTTCCAGCCCTTGCTAGATATGGGTTTCTCTAAAAGATCTGTATTCTCCACAGTCTGTATAGAGAAAACACAGTCTCAAATCTCCTCTGATTTAGGGCCCTGATAAAAATTACCTGGTCTTCTACTCCACAAGCTCACCATGCCCCTTCAGGTTTTGAACCTGGGAGAGACAGAATATGGAGCCCTTTCTTAAAAGTAAATGCATAATTGACATTAATGAGGGATTTATAATCTATTCATTATGAAGTCCTCAGGAACATATAGGTTTTTCCAAGGAGTGAGAAATAATTATTTTCATGTAAGTCATATGTCAATTAACAATATTTTTTACACAATTAAAAATCTCATTTTTGTTATGAAACGTGAAACACATTTCCTTTTTTTTGAGGCAGGGTCTTACTCTGTCGCCCAGACTGGAGTAAAGTGGAGTGATCTCGGCTCATTGCAACCTCTGTCTCCTGGATTCAAGCAATTCTCCTGACTCAGTCCCCCGAGTAGCTGGGGGTGTGCCACCATGCCCAGCTAATATGTTTTTCGTTTTTCTTTTAGTAGACACGGAGTTTCACCATGTTGGCCAGGCTGGTCTCAAACACCTGACCTCAACTGATCCACCTTCCTTGGCCTCCCAAAGTGCTGGGATTACAGGCATGAGTCACCGCACCTGGCCATATTTCCTTTTTGAAATGTGATTTATTTTATGAGGAGGTGTGAAATATAATAAACAAATGAATAAATAAATCATATATTTTTATGTTAATGGATTTGTGACCAGACCAAGAAATAAACAGAAGTAGTAAATGAGAGACATTGGCTTCGACTCATGTGAGTTTCTGTGTGTTTGTTAATTGGTAAAGGAAATGGGCCAACACCAGCTTGGAATACACTGATGCTGATTTCTAATACTTCATCAGAGGCAAGCATTTAGGGAAGTGGAGCAGACAAAATCAAGGACTTGGTCAGGGCTCAGCAAGAACTGGGTTTGCTAGATGTCTGCGAGGCAGCTTTCATCCCGTTAACCTCTGCGATACTGTATCTGTGTTGTCCTTCTGGATAAATAGATGTACAGACTCTGTAGAGCTACTATCAACAGAGTCTTAGGCCACCTTCAACACTTCCTCTTGATTCCAGTGGATAACATGAGAGCCAAAATTCCATCCTACCCCTGCTAATCACCATTGTTTACAAGGTTCTTAGATACCCCGAGGCCCTCCAACATGCCCACTCACAAGATAGGAGCTAAGTAGCACTGAAATGTAAATTTAAATAAAAAAATATTAATAGAACATTTGATACGACTTCAACCACCATGGTAAGTAAAAGCTCACATATAATCCATTTAGAAAGGTCTCTGGATACAGTATACAAAATGATTTGTATAAAAATACATATACATGCAAAACTCAATTATATTTCTATGTATCAACAATTAAGAAAAAGAAATGCAAAGAATAGACCTGGAGGACCTGAACTATCAGATATGGAACGTGTTATTAATTTACAGTAAGTCAGGCAATAAGCACAGAGTAAAAAACCATCAACAGAATAAAATGAAGTCTAGAAAATGATTCAAAAATAGAGATAACCTAATTTATGACATATGTGGCACTGTCGTTCACAGAAAAAGCTTAATTTTTAAAAAATTTTGCTGAAATCATTGCCTAACAATTTGGAAAAACAGTGTCATCACCCTTACCTTACACCGCAATTAAAAATTGATCCCACTTGCATAGATCTAAATGTGAACAGAAAAACAATAAATGTTATGGAGAAAAACACAGGAGATCGCATCACACTCTTTAGAGGCGGCACACAGTTTTAAAACAGAACACAAAAAGCTTGATCCACAGGGGGAAAAAAGAAAACTGCATTATGTTACAATTGAGCATTTCATTCAGGAGAGCAGCGGGACACAACAGAAAGTAAAAGATGTTCACTATGTGTATACACAATTTAAGACTCATATCTAGAATACACAAAAAGAATCTTCCAAAGAACACAGTATGTATAACGAACTACTATAAATTGAAAAGGGTAAGTCAAGAGATCCAAAAAAAAATTAACCAAAGGCTTGAATATATATTTTACAAAATTATATATATATATACACACACACACACACACACACACGCGCGCGAACAGTAACACAAAAAGTGGCTCAACTTACAAGGAAAATTAACTTAAACTTGGTGTCAGTAAATATACACTCTAGTGATTATAATGAAAATAGACCCAAAAAAACCTAATGTTTTTTTCTTTTATAAACTACTGATAAGAGTTTAAGTTGGCAAAAATTCTTAGGGATTCTGTTTGGTGGTATCTATTAAGATTGGAAAAGTATTCAGAATCAGTACATCCACTCCAAGCCATGTACCCAACAGAAAGCAGTATCAATTTTTACCAAAAGACATGTGCTAGAATGTTAATAGAAGCAGTCATGGTGACGGTCCTAACTGAAAACTGCCCATCCACATTAAAATTTATAAATGAATTGTGGATGGCCGGGCGCGGTGGCTCAAGCCTGTAATCCCAGCACTTTGGGAGGCCGAGACGGGCGGATCACGAGGTCAGGAGATCGAGACCAATCCTGCTAAACACGGTGAAAGCCCGTCTCTACTAAAAATACAAAAAACTAGCCTGGGCGAGTGCGCCGCCTGTAGTCCAGCTACTCCGGAGGCTAAGGCAGGAAATGCGTGTAACCCCGGGAAGGCGGAGCTTGCCAGTGAGCTGAGATCACGCCAACCTGCACTCCAGCCCTGGGCGAACAGAGGGAAGAACGCTGTCTCAAAAATAAATAATAATTAATAATAAATAAATAAATAAATAAATAAAATAATTGTGGCAATAGTACATAATGACACTTCCAGATAAACTGATAATCTTAACAAACATAACTGCTAAATCAAGCACCCATCAGCAAATAGTACATACTGCTATATTTAAAACTGGCAAACAAGTCAATGCTGTTAGAATTTGGGATACGGGTTAACCTCCAGGAAAGGAAACGGCAGCGTACTTCCTCCTCTGAGAGGAGGTACTAGGGAACTTTTGTCGGTGCAGATAATGTTCTGCCTTGCTTAACCAGGCAGGCTTAGAAATCCATGAACAGTATTTGCCCTTTTAAAGATATGAGGACCACTTTAAGAGTCTTAGAAATAGATCATCTGGAATAAAATGTTGTTAAAGACACAGGGCAGGTGGGCTTCACGCCTGATATCCAGAACTTTGGGAGCAGTCGGGGCGGAATCAACGAGGTCAGGGAGAAGCGAGACCACCCTGGCTAACACGGTGAATCCCCGTCTCTACTCAAAAATCAAAAAAGAAAAATCAGCTGGGCCGTGGTGGTGGCTGCCTGTAGTCCAGCTACTCGGAGGCTCTGAGGCGGAAGACGATGGTGTGACACCCGAGAGGTGGAGCTCTGCAGTAGAGCCGAGATCGTGCCACTGCACTACCAGCCTGGGACAGAAGCAAGACTCCTCTCAAAAAAAAAAAAAAAATTTAATAATCAATTGATACAGGAACTGAATTGACTAAGAAGAAAGGGACATGAAATTTGATACACATAAGTAGTTGAGGAATAATTTATCAATGTACAGAGAAATGCAGGAATAATAAAATAATTCCTCCAGTAAACAGACTTTTACAAATTTTACCAAGCAGTGTAGTATTTCCAGACCAAAAGAAAAAGAAGGAGATGATTAATGACATATTTTTGGCACAATCCTGTGGAAAGCAAATAGATTTTCAAGAAGAATTATGTTGTTTTGCATCTTCACTACCAAAAATTCCCAGAGAAGATAATGCTTGCATAAACATGTTCACTGTAAAATGTACTTCTCAGGGCAGACACCTGAAAGTAACTCAAAGGTCTCACTGCAGTGATATGGTAAAGCCAGCTGAGACTGGTTAGGGGAGCTGATAGTCCCCAGCTCTTCACAAGTTCACAATCAGGGACATCATGTTGGCTGCCTTCATCTTTGAAATGCTGGTGGTTTAACATTTACAAACTGGGAGAAAGGAAGTAAGTATTTTTCTACCACATATCGGCAATATTAAAGAGCAATTAAGTTTAAGAGACTTTATACTATTGTGCTGAAAATGCCTCGTTACAGTTTTTTTATATTGCCATTCAATTACACACATAGATGACAATTAAAATGATACATGAGGGGGAAAAAACTAAAGGAAATGCAGTATATTAATCTCAGAAGCTAAGATTTTGTAACTTTTAGGCTTTCCTGTAGTTTTAAATTATTTACGAAAGCCTATTATAAAATTTTAAAGACAGTAAAATGCATTAAACTTTTAAATTCATTCAGAATGGCTACAAATAATGAGAGTCTTTTAAAATTTGTATTTATTACGAAACGAATAAGACCTAGTAACTCCAATGCTTGTATCAGTTAAAGCTTGCTGCTTAGTTGAAAATACCATAAGTCAATATGTGTCTTCATTTTTAAAGTCCTAATTTACTGTATTGTTTGAAATAGCATTAAGATATATGTTTTATTTGGAACACTTCGTTTTTCCTAAAAGAAAGACAATTAGTACAAAAGGGATTAACGCCTACGTAGTTACAAAATTCAAATAATATGGGTAAAATGGTACACTCTATTAAAGAGGATTCAACCCATTAATTACAAAAGTCTGTGAACATTGTTGTAGGAATCCAATATGTATAGCATTTCCCTTTAAGACTTGTATTTCGGCCGGGTGTGGTGGCTCACACCTGTAATCCCAGCACTTTGGGAGGCGGAGGCGGGTGGATCACTTGAGGTCAGGAGTTTGAGACCAGCCTGACCAACATGGAGAACCCCCGTCTCTACTAAAAATACAAAATTAGCCGGGCGTGGTGCTGCATGCCTGTAACCCCAGGCACTCGGGAGGCTGAGGCAGGAGAATCGCTTGAACTTGGGAGGTGGAGGTTGCGGTGAGCCGAGATTGTGCCATCGCACTCCAGCCTGGGCGACAAGAGCAAAACTCTGTTTCAAAAAAAAAAAAAAAGACCTGTATTTCAAATGTAACTTAAAACTACCATACCAAAATTAAAAGCACAGAAACCTACCAGAGCCATAACACAAGAGCCAAGCAAGCAACCAAGCATTATATATTGTTTTATTTGTGGACAAATATGTATTAATTGCCTTATCATATGAGCTTCATGTTTTCAGTATAAGACATTATATGTTGTAAAATCTAGGTAACCACAGGGTCAACTGGATAAAATATGGGATTTGTTTATCTGCTATTTAAGACATAATCTTTTGGCTTACTTTGTGAGTCACACTTTAGATATTTTGGTTTTAATATGTGATGTAATAAATTTTAATAAGGCTTCCTTTTGAAAGTGGAAGAGCTCACAGGAAAATGTGTCTGTTGATGCGGTGAAATGAAGTTATTTTAATGTATTCCTTTTTACAGCTATGTAGGCAATTGTTATATTTCTACCAGCAAAACAAAACTATATATGTGTTTGTGAGTGTGTGTGTATTACCTGTGTTGAGAGAGTGACAGAGAGAGGGATGGAAGACAACACGATGTCTAATAATGCATTACAATTCAGTTAAATTGTCACCGTACACGTCAGACTGCCCACCAGAGTATCATTTGGCCAGGCGCGGTGGCTCACGCTTGCAATTCCAGCACTTTGGGAGGCCGAAGCGGGCAATCACGAGGTCAGGAGTTTGAGACCAGCCTGGCCAACATGGAGAAACCCTGTCTCTACTAAAAATACAAAAAATAATTAGCCAGGCGTGGTGGTGGGCGCCTGTAATCCCAGCTACTCGAGAGGCTGTAGCAGGAGAATCACTTGAACCTGGGAGGCAGAGGTTGCAGTGAGCCGAGATCATGCCATTGCACTCCAGCCTGGACGACAGAGCAAGACTCCGCCTAAAAAAAAAAAAAAAAAAAATTAATAATCAATTGATACAGGAAACTGAATGACTAAGAAGAAAGGGACATGAAATTTGATACACATAAGTAGTTGAGGAATAATTTATCAATGTACAGAGAAATGCAGGAATA